GATAATTATCTGAATGTTATAAAGATTTTCATACGAAATTTGTAAATTTTCTGATGCATAAAAGTATTTTTTAATCTTAAAATCAAAATTACTTTACATGTTGGATAGTCAACATGCAAAAAGAAAAAAGGCATGAGAAAAACATTACTTAAAAAATCTTAAAACTTAATAAAGAAAATCTGATGCTTTATTTAAGAAAGCCTTGTAATGTTTACTGATAATCTGCAAAATGTCGTGAAGATACACTTACTATTTTAAAAGTTATCACATGAATACTGTAACAATCACAAATTGATGATGAGGTCGGTCCCTGGGATCGAGCCTGCGCTGAAAGAATTAATGTGTTTGTATGATTTATTTTCACTTTTAGCAATAGAACTAACATTAGTAATAAGTTTTTTATTGGATTATTTTAATAATTGTTTTGTGTAGTTAATGACAAATAATTTTCAAAAGTTCTTTGCTAGCAGAACTTACATTACCAGTATTATTATTACAGTTGATTAAAAACTGGTTCTAAACATATCTGTATTTTTAACTTGCAAGCCTGATTCAACTTGGCCCGATGGATTGTGTCGAAACTGCACGTGCACTGGCAGTAATGGTAAATTTACATTTAACTGCCGTGTGGAAATTTGCCCCAAACTATCTGATTTCATCGACAAAGATGTAAGTAGATCTATTCTTTATGTTCTGTTAGTGGCTTGTTAGGTAAAGATCTTCAGTATGGCTAGTGAATTAATGTTTAGCCTCTAGTTATATAAATATATTCATGGCAGTACATGCATAACTAGCTGACATATACAAGTAAAATCAGAAATATATTATGACAGCTTTGTGAACATATTATAACTTTGAATTCAGTTTCAGTTAACCATCTAAATAATTTACAGTTATCCAGTCTACTTAAATGCATGAAGTGTAACCTTAGTTAGATAAACTTTTACTGAAAAATTCTACTTAAGTGTTTAAATATGAAGTGTAATGTAAAATTCAGTTTTAAGTTCATGTTTTCTTGGTCCTTGTTTGTAGACAACTTTAGCCAGTTTAAAGAAATGAAAATTAGTTGACATATAAATCATTGTATGAGGATTGTTAGTCTAAAAAAGTTAACCATATAAGTTACTAGGTAAGGATGGCTAATCTAAGAAAAATAACCACATAAGTTACTATATAAGGATGGTTATTCTGAGAAAGTTAACCACATAAGTTACTGGGTAAGAATAGCTAGTCTGAGCAAGTTAACCATGCAAGTTACTGTGCAAGGATGGCTAGTCTTAGATTTTACCATAAAAGCTAGTATGCAAGGATGTTTTTTAAATTAAAAAGTTAACCACATAAATAATTATGTAATGGTGTTTAGTCTGAAAAAGTTAACCACATAAATAATTTTGTAATGGTGTTTAGTCTGAAAAAGTTAACCACATACATAATTATGTAATGGTGTTTAGTCTGAAAAAGTTAACCACATACATAATTATGTAATGGTGTTTAGTCTGAAAAAGTTAACCACAAAATTTATGGTGAAAGATAGTTAGTCTCAGAAGGGTAAAAATATCTGTAATGGGTTGGTACTTTTAAATGCATTGTAACAAATAACTAAATTTTGGAAAGAAAAATTAGAAAAATCTCTTGTAAGCAGTTTTAACATTATTTGTTTGTATTTACAGAGCAAAGCATGTTTCAAATTGAAATATCTGTTATGTTCTTAAGTTGAAACTCTATAGATGAACTTCAGTGAGTGTATTGTTGTAATCAAATCAAAATGATTATATTCTGCTGTTAAACAACTCATAATTTTAAACCATCCACATAGAACTTAAAGTTTTTTTTGTAATGCTAGGATTATGTTCGGGTAGAAGAAAATGTGGCTGGAGCCTGTTGTCCAAAGTTCCGACGCTTACGCTGTAAACAGGGAGACCAGAGTTACAATGTGAGTCATGCAGAATATTAAAAGAATTTTTTTTTCTGTAAAAATTTGAAGGATTAACAGATAGGTTTTTGTAAAGTAAATTAGATCTGAAGCTTTTAAACCTTTATATACTTCTGCAGATTGGTATAAAGTCTATATCTTAATCCTTAAAAAATATAATAATTTTAGTCGGTTTTCTGGTTTAATCAAATGCTTTTCAAAAATGATATTAAGGTTGAAAACATTCTATAAAGTGTAAACATCAAACTCAAATTGTAACAGTAAAATGAAGTACATTTCTGTGCCTTGCTCTTGTTTCCTATTTTTTGAATGCTTTCACTCACAATTAAACAGTTAGTCACATAATTCTGTTTGTGATAATGTTGTTGAATAAAGAACCAGGAGCTTGCAAACAGAGCATTATATGTGAAATGTAGTGTAAATGTGATATGTAATAATACTGTAATTCCAATTGTTATGTTCTTAGGTTCTTATCTAATTCAAAAACTTTAACATCCCTTGTATGTTCCAAGTTGGTGTTAGTTGACCATCTCCTGGTGTAGATAAGTGTAGGATCGCTTGTATGTTCTAGGTTGGTGATAGTTGGCCATCTCCTGATGGAGATAAGTGTAACATCCCTTGTATGTTCCAAGTTGGTGTTAGTTGACCATCTCCTGGTGTAAATAAGTGTAACATCCCTTGTATGTTCCAAGTTGGTGTTAATTGACCACCTCCTGGTGTAAATAAGTGTAACATCCCTTGTATGTTCTGGGTTGGTGTTAATTGACCATCTCCTGGTGTAGATAAGTGTAACATTCCTTGTATGTTCCAAGTTGGTGTTAGTTGACCATCTCCTGATGTAGATAAGTGTAACATCCCTTGTATGTTCCAAGTTGGTGTTAGTTGACCATCTCCTGGTGTAGATAAGTGTAAGATCGCTTGTATGTTCCAAGTTGGTGTTAGTTGACCACCTCCTGGTGTAAATAAGTGTAACATCCCTTGTATGTTCCAAGTTGGTGTTAGTTGACCATCTCCTGGTGTAGATAAGTGTAAGATCGCTTGTATGTTCTAGGTTGGTGATAGTTGGCCATCTCCTGATGGAGATAAGTGCAAGAAATACAAGTGTGTGACAGCTCCAAATGGAGAAGTGCAAAAAGTTGAACAGACAACTACCTGTAAGAAAGATTGTCCACCGGTAAGTTTCTTTCACATTCTTTAAGTAAATGTATAGTTATTACAAAAACTTCTCAGCAAACAGGCTTATTTCATGTCAAGTGTACACATCTTGTGTTTAAGTTCAGTATTCATAGAGAATACTGGCTCATATACATGACAGCCACAGTGTACAGAAGAAAAACATCTGGTCCATATACATGACAGCCACAGTGTACAGAATAAAAACATCTGGTCCATATACATGACAGCCACAGTGTACAGAATAAAAACATCTGGCTCATATACATGACAGCCACATTAAATAGATTAATGGTATTTTCAACATTATATGTATTCTTTGATCAACAACAAATATTCTAATCCTTTTTTTGAAGTGTGGAAATGATGTATTAATGTTGTTTGTAACATTATATGTATTCTATCATCAAAAACAGATATTGTTGTTCTTTTCTTGAAGTGGGAAAATTCATAAAGAGTTGAGTAATAAAACATTTTTTGGCAATGATATCTGTAGTATGAAATACTAGTAACAGTATTTACATAATGCTTTTTAGTTTGCTGAGTATGTTGAACCTGCTTCTGACTCACCGGAGTGTTGTGGACATTGTAAGGTTGTTGCTTGTGAAGAAAATGGACAAGTTTTCCAGGTATAAGTTTTCTCATATTAAATATTGATTCCTTTTCACAACTGGTACTCATTTTCTTTGCAAAGTTTGCATGAAGTATCCTAACATAAGTAATCATGAAATATAGAAAATCTCTAACACTTGGTAGTGGAAATATATTTATTCCATGAATTCAGAGGTCGAACTAACATTATGTTATCCCCTCCTGAGGATATAAATGACCTTCTCAGCCACTGAGAATGATTTACTTAGATATTTTATTGTTTTTGTATGATGAAGTTTTCTCATGGTTCCATGGTAAAATGAAAAAGATGCTGAATGAATACTTATTGTCATTATTGGCTGTTTTTAGCCTTTTAAATTACTCATTTATACCAAAAGTAGTGTACAGGTGATCATTGTTTGGATATGTACTTGACAGATCCTTTCCAATTTGTGCTTTAGAGAAAGTTTTATATATATATATATATATATTATGATTACATTTTTTTTTTTTCAATATTTAATTTAATACAAAA